CCAATCAGTGATCACATGAATAGTAGTAAGCAAGATGTCACTTCTGACATCATTGCTTACTACGTGTGAAATCTGTGAATGATCACAGAGGTCACATGGTACAAGGCTATTCACAACAGCCTTGTACCATGTGACAAGCTGTGACCAATCACAGCTCGCACAGTATATCTCAATGGCTGCAAGAATGCAGCCAGATAGAAGGAGAAATTATTGCTTTTACAGCCTTTATGGGTGTAAAAGCAAACCGTGTAAAAAAAAAAAAAAAAAAAAAAAAATCTTCATCACCCCCCACAAGTAGTAGTGTCACTATGGTGACACTGTACTGCTAGGGTGGGTGACAGTATGTTAAAAAAAAAAAACCCATAATAATATAAAAAAAATAAAATAAAAAATGTTAACTTTTTGTTTTAAATTATAATTTTTAGTTAGAAACTAATTTGGGTTATTTTTTTTACTAAAAAGATAACTGAATACATTTTGGCCAAGATTTATGAAGAAAGATTATTTGCAAAATTTTATAAGAAAAACACTTTTTTCCCCCCAAATTTTTGGACTTTTTCATTTATATAGCAAGCCAATCACAGCTCACACAGTATTTCTCAATGGCTGCAAGAATGCTGCCAGAGAGAAGGAGAAATTATTGCTTTTGCAGCCTTTATGGGTGTAAAAGCAGTCTGTGTTAAAAAAAAAAAAAAATAAAAATCTTCATCACCTCCCACAAGTAGTACAGTGTCACTATGGTGACACTGTACTGCTAGAGTGACAGTATGTAAAAAAACACCCCAAAAAACATAAATAATAAAAATTTAAAAACTTTTTTGAAAAATGTTAATTTTTGGTTCTAAACTAATTTGGGTTATTTTTTTTTTTTTTAACTAAAAAGATAACTAAATAAATTTTGGCTAAGATTTATGAAGAAATATTTATTTGCAAAATTTGCAAAAGAAAAACACTTTTTGTCAACATTTTTGGACATTTTCATTTATATAGCAAAAAAAAAAAAAAATCCCAGTGGTGAATAAATACCACCAAAATAAAGTTTTATCTGTCAAAAAAAATGCTAAAAAATTCATATGGGTACAGTGTTGCATGACCACGCAATTGTCATTCAAAGCTGAAAATTGGCCTGGACAGCAAGGGGGTAAAAGTGTCTGGAGTGAAGTGGTTAAAGTAAGTTTAAAAAATAACAGACTTTCTGCCTGGATTACTACATGAAAATAAAGAAAAACCCTAAATAAAAAACCTACTGCAGCCACCATGTCTAAGAGGTTTCAGAGGATTTAGAGATCTCAAATCCACCAAGCCTCTGGCATGGATGAGATGTCATTCTATTTATATAAGAGTGTCAGAGTGCACCCATTGTATGAAGAGTCTGGGTCACAAGCAGTGGTCACCTAGAGATTCCACATTTGTCGAATCTGTGCTGCTCCAATATTATATATACCTAACAGTCTGATCAGTTTTGAAGAATAGAGCTCAGTCTTGTAGGTAAATTTGGTATCATAATGAGAAATATATGTAACTGCTTTAGTGTTTTTTTTTTTATATCAGTCTTGCAGTGAGTGAAAAGACTGAATATAAGGACGTGGTGTTTAGGTGATCCAAGTCGGTTACCTTGTTATAGTGGCAGTTTACATCTATGATGTCACACAAGTTTTGAAATATCCTGTTAAGTGGAAGAGTGCTACTCGAGTTTTATTGGAGACGTAGTTTATTAAATGCTGGGAACTGGAAGGTGGTCCACCCCTGTGCTAAAGGCTATTAGTGTACTTTTCAGAGATGCTCTACAGAACAAGTCTGCTCTTTATCTTGGAACAGCAAGCATACGCTAAAAAGAGCTTGTGCTACTCGGGAGTGTTTGATGTATGGTGGCGGGGCAGTGTTGTATCTGGAATTCTTAACTCATCTCTTGTACTAATCATTTTCAGTTTCCAATTACAAGATGAAGTTTTGGCCGCATCAGGAGTATACATCATTGGTGCCGGGGCGTGTTTGCTTTTCTTTATGACAACGATTTCCAGTCTTTTATGTTTAATATTTATTGTTTGCTAAAATGACGCTTGCATTTTTTTAACCAGACTATTACTGCAGTTGACTTTATTAATGAAAATGGATCACGTTCTAATGCATTTTGTTTCCTCAGCTGTCTTTTATGTAAAAGCGGCTGTTTGTATGTTTCTAGCACCACTAGACCAACCGTAAATGTTGCTTTATTTAGAGCGTGTTCAATCTCAGCCTGGTTTCATAGCTTTTTAAATAGTTACATATGCATTGATTTATAGTTTATTGTTCATTTAAGAACACTTTGAAGTTAAAGGAGAGCTCCAGGAAGCAGGATATTGGTTTAAAATGGGGATTTGCTTAAAGGATAAGTATGATCTAGATAATCTAATGTATACTGTTATTTTTAATTTAGGCAGGATTATGTAAATAAAAGTGATCTCACTCTTAAATACAGCGCAGTAGTGATAAATCATACATAAAGAACACATAAATTCAAATTAAAAAAAAAAAATAAAATATAATGTACAGTACGTATGTCAGTATATATGTATGTGCAAAGCTAATGAACCCCTTCTTCTGCTGTTCAAGAGATCCTCTTGATAAAGTAATTTTGATGAGAAATGCATTGGAACATGGCCTAGCTGCAATCAGATGGGAGTCTGTGAGGTATGGAACCAGGGAGGTATGCTGAGAAGCAGGGCAGCCAGCTTAGGCTTTGTGAACAGCGAGAGCAGGGGTTCCAAGGCAGCATGTCTACTGACGTACATGTTATGCTGTTTGTTTGTTTCAAGTGGTGGCTTGTGAGTATGTCTATTTGTTTTAAAATTTGTTATTCAACTGCAGCAAATTCAAGTCAAGCAGTAAGGAGCAGGCACAACAGCCTACCAACAGTGGTCAACAGCGGTCATCATTTTTGAACTCTTTGTACTGTCTTTTCTGGAAATACATGTAAAGAAAGTGTACTACATACCAATATATAAAAGATGTGTATGTGTGTGGTGTTTGTGTGTGTGTGTGTGTGTGTGTGTGTGTGTGTGTGTGTGTATATGTGTATGTGTATATATATATATATATATATATATATATGTATATATATATATATGTGTATATATATATATATATATATATATATATATATATATATATATATATATTATATGTGTGTGTGTGTGTGTGTGTGTATATATATATATATATGTGCATATATGTATATATATATGTGTGTGTATATATATATATATATATATATATGTATATATATATATATATGTATGTATATATATACATACACATATGTGTGTGTATATATATATTGTGGATATATATATTTTAGTAATAATACAATTAAATGAATATTAATTTAATATTTAAACACTTTTTTAAATGACTTGTATGTCAGTGCATATAATTATTCAAAAATCTATAGTTATGGGCATGACATTGGGGTCAGTGTTTAGCAGTTCTGCCTGAGTGAATTTTAAATTGAACTATAAATTCATTAGGCTCATTTATAAAATTACATTGTTCCTGGAAATGTATTTTCCCCCCTTTTTAAGGCTTCATTTACCTGGGTGGGTAGGGGGTGGTTAAAAACAGGCAGTTAAGCGACTGTTTTAACACCGCACGATCGCCCACTGCAAGTTAACCGGGCACCGGCTTTCACATATAGGAGGATGCAGTCAGAAAGTTTGAGTTCAAGTAGTACATTGTGCATGCATGCAAAGGTAAATGTCAATGCACTGAAACATCGACATTTATGCACCTGCTGCTCTTCTGAAAAAGATCTTAACTTTTCACATAGTTTTCTGCTGGACATATTTTCAGCCTCTCACTGTCTGTGTGCACGAGGCTTTGGAATTGAAGAAACGTTTCTCATTTTCTGGTCAGTAATTTCAGCCTCCATGTTTCTCTCCCAGCTGTTTTTTTTGTTCATACCAATGAACGGACAACAATTAAAAAAAAAAAAAATTATCAAATTAATTTAAGAATGGTTTTGGATAGCGTGGGGAAAATGTTGGAATTTTTAAAATTCCTGTTATGTTATCATTAAGGAGTTCCTGCTTTTCTAGGATGAGAAATTAACTCCCCTGGTTTCCCCTGGACAAAGATAAAGAGTGCAACGAGTACTTGATAAAGGATTTAACTCTTTCCCACTCTACTATAAAATAGGGGGTTTTGTTGTGGTCACTGTCCTTTCCCATTGTAGAGATTTCCTAATATTCCTTTCCCAGTTACACATTGTCATAAGGGAGGACAAGTAAAAAATTCTCCCAGTATAGATGCTAGATAGCAATAAAAAAATAACCTGACAGAGGTTCTAACCTCTTCCCTACACTATTTAGAAAAAAAAATGATGGCCCGAGTTAAGCTCTAAATTGTCCATCTCTGGTTTAAACAAAGCACATAGGATTGTTTTTCTCTGAAAAAAAAAAAAACCATTTTAAGTATATGCTTTCAGTATATTTAGTCTTCAGGAATTTGAAGATGTTTGTTTATTTTTACGTTGATGTAATGGTCTCTGTTTAATTTCCAGAACATTGCTTTTTACACAGACTTTGGTGTTTCCAGTAACTTTCCAGTGCGACGGAGTGGCTTCTCTTATATTGTTTTATGTTCTGTATATGAAACATATTTAGGATGGTGCAGAAACATGAATGCGAAACGCGGTGGACCCAGAATGTTTTTCAGTCCAGTGCATTATGAATTTCCCCTGGAGTCCTCTTTGAGTTCATTGGCCGGGCATTGTAAGAATCTGTGTTCTTCCCATGATCCCAGCCACGGGCTCTGTCCAGAAAATATATTCACCTAAACCCACAAAACTCTTGTACTTCTTATTATTCTTGAAGAAAATGTAAGAAATATTAAGCTCTAGAGGCAAGAAAAAACAATATGAACTTTGATAATGCGTGTTGTTTCACCTCCCTTTCTTGATAAGTTAGATGCATCTGTTTTACAGCTGAGAACACTAATTCCTCTTATTTCTCCTACACAAATAGGATATTGTGCCCGTTGATGCATCTTATGAAGTCAAGGAGTTGTATGTACCAGAGAACAAACTACAGCTGGCAAAAACCGATGCTGAATCATTGCCGACATTGGAAATAAATAAGGTAAAAAAACAAAAACAGCTGAGACATGCTTGCAATTTTTTTTTAAAGGTTGTAAATGCTCTCTTTGCTTTTCTTGAAATGAGTGAACTTGTATTCCAATGTTTTACAAAGAACAATATGGTATGGATATCAGGGCTCAGTAAAAATTAGATCTTGCATTATTTAAAACATATTATTTATATATTTTTCATATGATTTGGATGGTAAAGAAACATAGCGAGAGAATTTGTAGCCTGCCATTGCTGACTATCCCATCTGAAAATGTTTATTTCCTGGCTCTCCATTGGCTTGAGTAATTTGTTTTATGATGTTTTGGAGCAAGTATGTAAATGAGGAGTTCTGTCATCACTCTTAGATTTCTAAGCTCTAGATCAAACAATTTGGAAGCTAGAGATGGCCAGGCTACAAACTTTCTGAGCAGGAAGTCAGCAGTCGTGGCACACCTATTTCTCTTACATGTTTTTTTAAAAGGCCAAGTCACTTGGGCTTTAGAACAAAACTGTACTCCAAGCTAATCGAGACAGTCCTGCCCCAACCCTGCTACAACTTTACTTTTAATTGAAATTTGGACCACCACAATAAAGGTAAGTATTTTCACTGGAAATTGCCAATTTAGCTATTGCTAGGTGACTGACCTTGAGTATATAGATTTTTATGTAGAATATATTTTAAGATTAATAGAAAATGTTCCAAAAATAAGTAGTGGTCACCTTCCACATATCCTAACTTTTATTGTCTGGATTTAAAATAACTATCATTGTTTAGCTTAATAGGAGCCGGTTATAATTGCCCATTTGAGGGGTTAGGATGAGACTCCTCAAGCTTCATCAAAGCTTAAGATTACCATTGCTACCCTTATTTGCTGATTGCTCAGTTTGCTGAATTTTAAGCATTAGAGTAGCTCGAGTCTGTTCGACCTAGCCCCATATACACAATGAGAATATCGGACAAATGATCGCTGGCCTCACCCTGAAAAGCTCTTTGCTTCTCCTAAACATTTTCCTTAGCTGTTGCCTGTTGAAATGAATAGTTTCTGTGGTGGACTTGATCTCAACCCAATTGAGCATGCATTTCAGTTGCTGAAGGCAAAACTAAAGGCAGAACGACCCACAAACAAAGGACAACTGAAGACAGCTGCAGTGAGAGCCTGCCAAAGCATCAGAAAGGAGGAAACCCAGTCTTTGGTAATGTCCATGGGTTCCAGACTTCAGGCAGTCATTGCCAGTAATGGATTCTCAAACAAAATATTAAAAATGAACATTTTATTGATGATTATATTCATTTGTCCAATTACATTTGAGCCCCTGAAAATGGAAGGACTGTGTATAAAAATAGTTGCAGTTCCTAAAATTTGTACTTGATTTTTATGTTCACCCCTTGAATTACAGCTAAAAGTCTGCACTTCAAATTAATTTGGAATGTTTTGTTTTAATTTATTCTGGTGTCATACGGAGCCAAAAGTATGAAAATTGTGCCTGTGTCCAAATATATCTGAACCTAACTGTATATCATCCACTTCATGCCTCTGAATACAGCCCATATTCAGCAGAAAAAAGAGGATACATAACTTCTCATGGTGTAGTATCAAAAAGACTCAAACAAATAAATACTAAAATACTATATAAAATCCTATGAGGAAGTCATACATCACATGATGAAAGGCTACAGGGACAGGGCTACATGATGTTATCACGATGTCAGCTATTTTACTTGTTTTTTTTTAGATGGATGTTTATCCTTAAGGGGGGCACTGTATATAGGATTTTTAAAAGGTGGTTTTCCTTGTGCATTGGTTCTTAGTGCACTAATTTTGTGAGTAGTATTTATTTGTTTGGGCGAATAGTCTTTTTCATACTACACCATGAGAGGGGGGTGCAAGGTAACTGTGTGGTACTGCCAGAGGGATTGGACAGGATCCTGTGAAGGAAATGGGGTGTAACAACAAGGGTAAGTCCACCTGTAACAATCCAGGGCACATAGAGAGACGCAGTAGAGATGGATCAGAAGGCAGTAATATGGCACAGAATAGCAGCAGTATGGTACAGCAAATAGTGAGCTCAGGGGCACAAAACACCACTAAGAAAAAGCAAGAACAAGTCACAGGATCATTCTTCTTTTCTTTATTTCTCTTTTTCTTATTCAGCATATCTCATTCATGCAGATGGTTTCATCTTTCAGCGGAGAATACTCATGTGCTGCACATGTGTCTCACCGTAAGCGCTATGTATCAAAGACCTGTTTTGATGTGCAGTGACAACTCTGTCCAAAGTTTTATTTAAATCCTTTTTTAAACCCTTAGTAGAAATCAATGAATTATAAAGTTGAAATCCTTTTATGTGGCAGCGAGGATCGTCCTAATTCATTAACTTGCAACAGCCTGTCAAAGTTTCCTTTTTTTTTTTATCCTTTACAGTTTCAAATTTTGTTTTACTGCGTTTAGATGAATAAAGATGCATTTTCTAGTTGGTTGCTGTTGGTGACCACACATTGTATAGAAATCTCGGGTCGTGAGAACACTAGCATTTAGTTTAACTTGAGGTTTCAAAAAATCTGCCCAAATGGTTTGTGTCGTTAACCAATTTACTTCCAGAGCCGTTTTTGGCAAAATATAAATTTTGGACCTGAAGGTTAGTTAAAACCCCTAACAGTATATATTTTCTGAATTCAGAGACCTTGAGGAATAAAATGGTGGTAGTTCCTTTTTTTTTTTTTTTTTGTCCCATGATATTCGTACAATGGTCAACCAGCACAACATAACAATCTTTTTGTAAAATATAAAAGAAGATGTTGTGCCGCGTGAATAGATATAGATACCCAACATGTCAAACCTTAAAACTGCATACACTTTAAAAGTTTGTACTGGTCATCAGTTTAGAATTACCTGAATAATGACTCTAGAATAATTGCTCTCACTACAGTGTGATGATTTGTAATATGTGTAGCATAATTGACGTTCTCATACACAGGCACCCCTCACATACGTGTTTGTGCACATGGGGGGGATGGGTTGGGGGGTTTAAGTGCTTCGATGTACCTTTTTAACTTAAAGTGATTCTAAAGGTTCTATTTTTTGAAAAATAACAAACATGTCTATACTTACTGCTGTGTGTAGTGGTTTTGCACAGAGCAGCCTGTATCCTCCTTCTTGGGTCTCCCGCAGGCTCTCCTGGCTCCTCCTGTCTGTTGGGTGCCCCCACAGCAAGCAGCTTGCTATGGGGGCACCTGCTACTCCATGTCCCCCCCCCTCCCTCATTGGGTGACTGGCTGTAATTTGACACCAGCGGGAGCCAATGACTCCTGCTTGCTGCCTCAGCCAATGAGGAGGCAGAGACCTGGGACAGCCGAGGCTGTCATACACATTGCTGGATCTCCATGGGGCTCAGGTAAGTATTGAGGAGTCTGGGAAAACTGCTGCACACAGAAGGTTTTTTACCTACATGCATAGAAGTTAAAAAAACCTTCAGCCTTTATAACCTTTTTAATGTTTTTTTACTTAACTTTATTGCTATCACATAGGGGATCAATACTCCCGTATGTGCTAGCATATTGTAATGAGTTGTCTTTATTGAGACATCAAAGGTCCATTGGATTGGTGGAGATAGCTTCCAAGTCACTGGGATAGGAAACCAGTGAACGTCCATTCACGGATCTCCGCTTTAAGAACCTGGAAATTATGAGGATTTTGTCATTTCTGGTTTCTGTTGTCCACTTCCCTACTCGCTGGGGCCAGGGAAACACCCTTAGAGAACTGGTCCCTGTAAATATGCTCTCACATAATTTCTTACCAACCCCCCAAAAAAAAAACAAAACAAAAACACAGTTAGGTCCATATATATTTGGACACAGGCGCAATTTTAGATTTTTCAGGTATTTACCAAAACATATTCAAGCTATAGTTATATAATGGACATGGGCTGAAAGTGCACACTCTCAGGATTAATTTGAGGGTATATACATCCAAACTGGAGGAAGGGTTTAGGAATTGCAGCTCTTAAGAGTAGCCATCCCCCCTTTTTCAAAGGACCAAAAAGTAATTGGACAAATGAATATAATTGTAAATAAAATTTTTTTTTTTTTTAATATTCTGTTGAGAATCCTTTACTGGCAATGACTGCCTGAAGTCTGGAACCCATGGACATTACCAAAGACTGGGTTTCCTCCTTTCTGATGCTTTGCCAGGCTCTAACTGCAGCTGTCTTTAGTTGTTCTTTGTTTGTGGGTCTTTCTGCCTTTAGTTTTGCCTTCAGCAACGGAAATGCATGCTCAGTTGGGTTGAGATCAGGTGGTTGACTCGGCCATTGCAGAATATTCCACTTCTTTTCCTTCAAAGGCTCCTGGGTTTCTTTTGCAGTGTGTTTTCGATCATTGTCCATCTGTACTGTGAAGCGCCGTCCAATCAACTTTGCGGCATTTGGCTGAATCTGGGCTGACAGTATATCTCTATACACTGCAGAATATATCTGGCTGCTTCTGTCACATCATCAATAAACACCAATGACCCAGTGCTACTGGAAGCCATGCATGCCCATTCCATCACACTGCCTTAACCATGTTTTACAGATGACATTGAGTGCTTTGGATCATGAGCTGTTCCAAGCCTTCTTCACACTTTTTTTTTTTCTTCCCGTCATTCTGGTACAAATTAATCTTAGTTTCATTTGTCCAAAAAATGCTTTTTCAGAACTGGTCTGGCTTTTTTAGATATTTTTTGGCAAAGTCTAATCTGGCTTTTCTATTCTTCAGGCTTATCAATGGTTTGCACTTTGTGGTGAATCCTCTGTATTTGCTTTCGTGAAGTCTTCTCTTGATTGTAAACTTTGACAATGATACGCCCACCCCCTGGAGAGTGTCCTTCACTTTTCTGGATGTTGTGAATGGGTTTTTCTTTACCATAGAGAGGATCCTGCAATCATCCATCACTGTTGTCTCCTGTGGATGTCCATAACCTTTTTTATGTTGCTGAGCTCACCAGTACGTTCTTTCCTTAGAATGTACCAAACTGTTGACTTGGCCACTCCTAATGTTGTTGCGATCTCTCTAATCAATTTTCTTTAGTTTTTTAAGCCTTACAATGGCCTATTTCACTTGCATGGATAGCTCCTTTGAATGCATGATGTAGGTTCACAGCAATAGATTCCAAATGCAAATACCACACTTAGAATCAACTCCAGACCTTTTACCTGCTTAATTGATGAAGAAATAATGTAGTAGCCCACACCTGGCCATGAAGCAGCTTTTGATTCAATTGTCCAATTACTTTTGGTCCCTTGAAAAAGGGGGGATGGCTACTCTTAAGAGCTGTAATTCCTAAACCCTTCCTCCAATTTGGATGTACATACCCTCAAATTAAACCTGAAAGTGTGCATATCCATTATATAACTATAGCTTAAATATGTTTTGGTAAATACCTGGGAAAAACTAAAATTGTGCCTGTGTCCAAATATATATGGACCTAACTGTATGTAAATGCACCCTTTTGAAGGTGCCTACATATGAAAACATAGATATTGCTACACATGTTACATATTGCTGCGCACGCCAGAGTGAGAGTATGAATTTTAGGCCATTTTTCAGGGTTAACTCTAGAAGGATTTTTTTTTTTAAATAGGTACCAGTACCAAAGTGTCTAATTACTAAATACCTTACTTGTTTACTTCTCTTAATTAGTCTGTTTTTATCTTGTACAGGTGGACATGCAGTGGGTGCAAGTTTTTGCAGAAGGCTGGGCAACACCACTTAATGGCTTTATGAGAGAGCGAGAGTACTTGCAGTGCCTTCATTTTGACTGCTTATTGGATGGTAAGTACATTATGAAAATTGTTGGTATTTATTTCTCAGTAATATTTAGCTTAATAATCTGTCACTCATAATAATAATTTATTTCTCGTTTACTGAGGTACACCAGGTTCAGAGACTGTTGGGTTATACTGCTGCCCACAGGAACTTTTGGACACTGGGAAACAAAAACAGTGACCAGCCTGGTATAACCCTCCCTCAACATCCCACAGCACGCCTCAGATTTTTGCTGGTGTCCTAGGAGGATGGACATCTTATTAAAAAAATAAGTTTTTTTTCTTTTTCTTTCCATTATTTTCATGTTTTCAAAATTATTTTTTTTCCCCTTCAGTCATATTTTCATTTCCCTACCTGCTGCTTGAGCTGGTCCCTTTTATGCAGCTATCCGGATACTTATCAGTATGAACCTCTCCTTGAAGTCTTACTTTGTGAGTAGGCTGAGCACCAGAAGCTAATTTGTTAATTAAAACCATTGGGCACTATTATTCCTGTTTTCCGTTTCTTTCCCACAGAAAGGGTTAAACACTGAGCTTTGCATCATTAGGTGGAGTGTTGTGTGTGTGTACACTCTATCTTGTTCCTGCCATACTCCATACTCCCACCACTGTTTTTAATCACAAGAGATACACAGTTCATCCTAGATTAGTCCTTGCTTACCGTAGACTGACCTGGTCACCTTCAATCATCTGAACCTGCTCTGCTTCCAGCAGCCAGTTTGTGAGTACCTAAGCGTTGTCTGGTATCCTGAGCTAAGTTTTCCTTGACTTGCAGCGTGATATGCCAGATGCAAGACACTTGGGGGGGCAATACCAGGTTCCTCCAGCTCATGAACCACTAATGGCAGCCTGCAATCTTAGCAGCCTTCTGATGCAGAGGCTTTGTCCACTGAAGAATCTCAGAAATCCTTGATGGATAATATTACCATTGAGGATTTGCAGGCAGCTGCCTTTGCTCCCAGGTTTAGAGAGACCATTAATGTGCACCAACTTATAAATTGAAGAACAGACTGTGGCTTCTACTAGTGCATCTTGGATCTCAAGGTCCCTAATGTCTTGGTTTGGGCTCAGAAATTCCACCCATTCTTAAACTCCCTTAATCAAGGGGACCTTTTACCGCTGTGGACATCAAGAATTTGTACTTGTACATCCCCATTTTTTCAGCACATGAATGATTCCTTTGCATTGCTGTATGGCCTCAGCCTTTCTTGTTCTTGGATTTGCCGTTCTGCCTGTCTTCCACACCCCACATGTGGAAGGTTCTTGCCCTTGTGTTAGCCTTGTTATTCTCCCAGGTCCTCTCCACTGTGGGATATCTGCACAACCTCTGGGTCTTATCCTCGACACAGCTCAAGAGAGTATTTCTTTCACAAGATAAACTTCAAACTCTCTACTTCTAGACTTGGACTCTTCAGTCTCAGAGTCGACTGATTCTTTTCTTCTGTGTGAGACTCCTGCATATAGTTGGGATCTTCTGTCCCAAACACCAGTTTACATTCCTGCTTCACAGCCACTGGCTTATGGTAGTTGAAGGACAGGGGCCTCTCTGATTCCCTGATTCCTACAATGCTGAAAATGAGGAATTTCACTTCCTGCAAGGTCTACCATAGCACTTGAAAGACATACTATTCTAGCTGCGAGAAAAGTTTTCATCCCAGAAAATACTGTGTTACAAATCCTGAACTTTTTGCAATTAGGTTTGGATCAGAATTTGGCCCTGAGTTCCATTAAGGGTCAAATCTCAGTGCTTGCGTTCTTGTTCCAATAGACATCTAGTCTCACAGTCTTTGTTTAAGACATTTGTACATGCTTTTTTTTGTGGGCGCCTCTGTGCACTCAACCACCACTTCATGGGGTTTGAATCAGGTTCTCTCAGCACTTCAAAAACCACCTTTTGAACCTATTGGGGATATTCCTGTTTCTGATTATATTTTCATTGTTATTTAATTATTTATTATTACTTATTTCAGGTACTTATGTAGCACTGTCAATTTACATATATATATTGTACATTCACATCAGTCTCTAACCCTAAAGGAGTGTACAATCTAAGGTCCCTAACACACATACTAGGGATCATTTAGAAAGGATGCAATTAACCTACCAGCATGTCTTTGGAGTGTGGGAGGAAACCAGAGTACCTGGAGGAAACCCACGCAGGCACAGGGAGAACTGGCAAAATCCAGGCAGGGGGTGCAGTGGTTGGGATTCGAATCAACGACCCTAGTACTGCCAGGCAGAAATGCTAATTGTTTAGCCACTGTGCTTATGATTGTGTCTGTGCATCAGTAGTTTTTTTTTGTTTTAGTTTGCAGCTATTAATCAATACTTCACATGCACTCTAACTATACACAGGTAAAGGGATTTAAAGTATGTCCAGGAAAGGGCATCTAAACCAAGGGGGTCAAGGGTAGAAATTAAAATCTAGTTTGGACTTCAGTAGAGTGTCTAGTTAATACTGAACAGCAGTGTGTGCTGCATCATATTAGCAACCAGCTGTAAATATTCTTGATAAAATGATTTCTGGTTGGTTTCCTCAACCAATAAACAGGTTTTCTTTTTTAGTTGTAGATCTATCCAAACTTGGCATGAGCTTCTTGATGCTTGATACATGTTTTCTTGGAGTTCTCATGTTTAACTTGGAGTAACCTATTCTCCTACCAATGTTTATTCTCTGGGCATATAACTAAATACAGCTGCCAACTTATTTTTAATTTTGGCTAGCCATTCTTCTAATACACACACCCTACTAGTCCACAAGATTAATGGTTCACAGGTGAGCTCCTTGCTCTCTGGAAAAAGATTATGTTGATTTACTGTCCAAGGAGGTGGCTGGAGATGGAAATGTGGTACAGGCAGTTAAATTGCAAAACCAGATAAATGGAAAGCACAGTTAATTTGCATTGCTTGAAGATGGCCTGTTATAATCTGTAATCTTCCCTATATTGTAGGCTCCCTTCAAACTGGAGATTTTTTTTCAACAAGTTTTCTTTCCTCCTGTAATACCCCACATGCTGCAGATGCAGTGAAATAATGCACACCTAGCACTAAAGCTGACAATACCCTATACAATCCGATTGTAGATTCACCTTTAGATCCACCATCCACTATGCCCTCATAATACATTGTTTTGGTAACTTTAAATGAGATTGTACACATTGTACAAATCACATTGTTCAGTGTATGGCCAGCTCTTGTGATCTGACAAAAGAGGCACATCTTTTTTTTATGCATGTAAAAAATAAAAGATTAGAAGGATTGTTAACCTGTTAAAGGTAAAGTGGAACTAAATCCTCCTATCTTGTCAGCAAAGGAAGCCGCCATCTTATTGTTTGACACCCAGCCATTTAATGGTTTGACTTTGTGGTTGAGGGCACAAGCAAATGTGACAGTTGTCATTCCCGGCATGCCCGGAATGTAACTTTTTTGAAACATCATTAAGTCGATGGGTTTAGTTCCTTTTTGGAATTCCTCAATGAAATCTGGGCTTCTTCTCTTCTGTGTCTGCCCCAATAGCAAGCCACTTGCAGTGGGGGCAGGTATGTGGGCTCAGTCCCGAGCCGAGCTATGTCCATAAATACGAACAGTGTGACTCAGCCCCGCCCCCCCCTCACTGGAGTTAATTGACAGCAGCAGGAGCCAATGGCTACCCCTACTATCAGCAAAGCCAATGAGTCCAGGAAGGCGGGAGAGAAGACCTACAGCCAGACACAGCGCTGGATCAATAAAGGACTCGGGTAAGTGTTGGGGAGGAGAAGGAGGGGCTTTTTTTTTTTTTTTACCTTAATGCAGAGAATGCATTTAGTACAGCATTCTAGCAACAATTCAGGGATGAATATTACTGCATATGTTACATACCCCATCCCTCAACTTTATTCTGGGAAAACCCTGTTAAACACTTGGAAAACAAAGCAGAAATCCATTGAAACAGAATATGCTTATGTATCAAAACCTTAAAAATGTAAATAAAAAAGCTAATAGGGTATGGAAATATCCTTCTTTTATGCCACAGTGGTAGAGCTTTGTGTACCAGAATGGCATCAGAGGCAGCCTCATCAAGTTCCCTTACATCAGGTAAACCTGCCTCAGTTTTCTGGCTGGGAAAAGTCTGCTTGTACATACATTTGTCTACCCTGTTGTCATTGACTTGATGTCTGGTCTACATCACCTGTCCACTAAATAGCACACATATCCTGCCTTGTTCTTTAAGCCTTGCTTCAGTTCTGGCTTAAAGTGTATTTTTTTTATTATGTGTGTTCATATATATGTATTTTATAAATCATAGTCTCTGTTATTTTCATGTACTTCTTCCATCTGAAGTATCTGGTTGATCCTGCCAGTCACCTTTCTTCCTTTTTCTGAACTGACCACACAAAGTACAAAAGCTGATCTGTGCTTCTGTAGTCTGTTTTCATCCTTTGGCTTGCCACTCTAAGGTACAGGACACTGTGCAGACACAGCATGCCAATATTGGGTAGTTTGTTCAGCCACCACACACACTCCCAATCACAGCCTGTCTCTGGCACACACCCCCTCCCACTCGCAGCCTGCCTCTGGCACACACCCCCTCCCACTCGCAGCCTGCCTCTGGCACACACCCCCTCCCACTCGCAGCCTGCCTCTGGCACACACCCCCTCCCAATCGCAGCCTGCCTCTGGCAAACCCCCCCTCCCAATCACAGCCTGCTCTGGCACACACCCCCTCCCAATCACAGCCTGCTCTGGCACACACCCGCCTCCTAATCACAGCCTGCCTCTGGCACACATCCCTCCCCAATCACAGCCTGCCTCTGGCACACATACCCTCCCAATCACAGCCTGCCTCTGGCACACATACCCTCCCAATCACAGCCTGCCTCTGGTACACACCCCCTCCCAATCACAGCCTGCTCTGGCACACACCCCCTCCCAATCACAGCCTGCTCTGGCACACACCCCCTCCCAATCACAGCCTGACTCTGGCACACACCCCCTCCCAATCACAGCCTGACTCTGGCACACACCCCC